TTCTGAACCTGTAAATTCCTCTATGTTCCTGCATCTTACAAAAGGAGTTTCACACATAGGTTAGTTTCTAGCATGAGTTTGTTTCTAGGCTGCTATCTCCAGACTGCATGTCTTTAAAGAAGAAAAAAAATCACTGTGGTCAGGAATTAAAGGTAAGTAGGGTGACTTCCAGCCAAGTAAAGATGAAAAACAACTTCTTCCCATTAACAAATAACTGATACATGCTCTTTGACTTAACTCTTTGTGTTCAAGTAAATATCAGAGAATGTACATTTCCTTCTAAATTTTCCTCTCTTGTAAAAATCTAACAAGCCAAAATATTTCAGACACAACCATTCCAGATCTCCTTTTCGCCATTTGTTATCATTTTAAAGATTTGAGTCATGTGAATTGTATTTGTATAATAATATCTTTATACTAAGTATTTCATAAAGGCTCATTGAAAAGAACTCACTTCTGAAAGATGAATCTGATATTAATTATATGTCTCAGTCCTGGAACTGGACATTATTGTCAACATGAATTCAAGAGACAACTAAATTCAAAGTTGTGATTATTTCACTAAGCTAAAATTTTCTTGTACCCAACATGAAAAGTCATTAAGATGTAAAGGAGGAAAAGTTGAACTTTCTTATAATAATCAAATATATATGTCAATAATTACAAAGCAGTGGTTATATATCCTGAGGGAGCTCTAATTCAAAAAAAATGTGCACCCCAATGTTCATAGCAGCACTATACAGTAGCCAAGACATGGAAGCAACCTAAATGCCCACTGACAGATGACTGGATAAAGAAGTAGTGGTATATTTATACAATGGAATACTACTTGGCCATGAAAAAGAATAAAATAATGCCATTTGCAGCAACATGGATGGATCTGGAGATCATCACTCTAAATGAAGTAAGCCAGAAAGAGAAAGAAAAATGCCATATGACATCACTCATATGTGGAATCAAACAAAAAAAGAAAGAAAAAAGAGGAAACTAATGAACTCATCTACAAAACAGAAACAAGACTCCCAGACATAGTAAACAATCTTACGGTTACCAGGGGAAAGGGGATGGGAAGGGACAAATCTGGGAGTTTGAGATCTGCAAATAGTAACCACTATATATAAAAATAGATAAAAAACAAATCTCTTCTGTATAGCACAGGGCACTATATTCAATATCATGTGATAACCTTTAATGAAAAAGAATATG